CGAGAAACAGTTTTTTAAAATTCTACCAATTACGGTGGTAAGACATGATGAATTTTAAATTGCCTTCCCATGCCAGAGATGTTAAACTGTGAGAAAATGAGTATCTTAGGATCATTGAAGTCCAGTGTTCTCTCTAATCCTTACAGCAGCAAAGTAGGTGTGATACCATTTTACTTCATTGAAATGCTGTCTTTCTAAAATAGTAGTTAAGAGTCATAACTATATTGTCTGACAACAACTGAGCTGTTATGTGTGCAAGGAACAGTTGCAAACACTTTGCATAGATTTTCACTGAAGCGTCACAGCCGTGTCCTGTGAGATAACTCCTACTTCATCCCTGTTTGGCTGAGAGGAAATTGAGGCACAGAAAGGCTATGTGGCAGCTAGCAAGTGACAGTTAAAGTAGAAGTCCGGCCCAAGTTGAGCTGAATCTCAAGGTCATGCTTACTATTCAAACAGGTTGTTCTTCCTTTAATGTGGTGAGTAGTAAAAGCTTATAAATAGTGTTCTTCCTGCATAAGGAAACTGAGCATTTCTTTTAAAGGGGTAGGAAGAGCATGCTATTGAATGTTTCCAATGACATGAGTAATGGTATGTTTGAACTACTATGCTCCAATGTCCTAAAAAGTCGTCTCCCGTTCATAGGACGGCCCTCCATTTGGCCTCTGCCAATGGCCACGGAGGCGTGGTGACTCTTCTTCTGGAGCGAGGCTGCCAGGTCGATGCACAGGACAGGAAGAAAAGGACGGCGCTGATCAAGGTGTGTAGCAGCCAGCCGTGCCCACGTGAGATGGATTCCATGTAATGACTTAAAACTGAATTGATCTGGTTTAAGCATAATGAACCACTGGGATTTGTGGCATGTTGACTTGGAATTCCTGGCACTTACAGTCTGTTTCTTGGCATGATACTGACAGGCCGTACAGTGCGAGGCGGAGGAGTGCGTGGACATCCTCCTTAAAAGTGGAGCAAACGTCAACGCGGCAGATGTGCTTGGCAACACCGCGCTCCACTATGCGGCATGCCTTGACACCACATCTATCGCGGAGAAGCTGCTGTCCCACACCGCGGACATGGACGTGAAAAATCAGGTATAGCTCCATTCTCTTTCTTGACACAGTATTTCAAATACAGGTTCTTTTTTAGCCACAGGTGTTTTATTTCTAATGCATGTACCAAATAGACTACATCAGGCCCTGTTACCATGGAAACAAGTCCAAAGCCAACGCCAGGGGCTAGAGAAAGGTGATGCCCACAGGAAAGGCAGAGCTCTGTCACCTAGCGCCTGTGCTACCCTGGAAGGAACAACTCCCCATTAGGAAGTGCTTGGGAGTGGGTGGTAGGTTCAGAGGCCACAGAAGATGAAGGCCTGGGGGGAGGGAAGTGATGATGGGGGCTGGCTGCCTTCAGAGGCAGGGTGGCTACTGGGGATGGGTGGGAGGAGGGATACGCAATATGCAGCCGGGGAGCTGGGTGAGTGCACATGGGCAGGGGAGGCAGCAGGCCACAGACCCCAGGCCCTGAGCACCCCAGGACCCCTGGTAATAGGATCAGGACAAGTGAGGTCAGGTCATGTTTGACAACCAGCAGGGACATTCACTGGTGCTGGTGCCCATGTGGCCCACCACGTACACCTTAGGGTCTTCCATGCTCAGCCTGGTGTAGCTCCTCAATGGGGCTGTGGCTCTATGTGGGCAGCAGGTGATGGCAAAGCTGGTCTGCCTACTTTTGCTTCAGGACATCCTTACCTCCCGCCACTGCAACACTGCCAGGAATACCCTCCGCTGACATACTAGGTGCAGTTTTATGTATTGGAGGCACAGGCACTTCCTGAGTGAAAATATTTGGAAAGAATGTAATTGTCTAAGATTTCACTTTAAATAATGAGATTTCCAAAGAAGCATTAGAAGGTACAGCTTTCTTTTATTTATTTATGGCAGATATTTGTGCAAACATTGCATTTGTTGTGGGTAAAAAAAAATTCTTTCTGTTTTTACCCACTCACATTTATTTCTGATTGGTGTAAAAATCGAAGAAAGCAAAACTTGCCTTAGAAATAGACTTTGTCTTAACACTGAAGCAAAACAAAAACATCTGACAGTGTAATCAACTTCTTGCTGCTATGGACAAGTTTCTGTTTTATTAAAACAAAGAATTTATCTAAAACTGATTTCTGTCTCATTGTCCAAGGCTTAAGAGGAAATAAAAGGAGACAGAGTGGATTGAGCAGTTGAAATATGCAGGCTAGTGTGGAAATTGGGCAATTGGGAAATAGCAAGAGGAGGTTTTTGTTTTCCTTCTGTTTACGTAGTTGGGCAAGCTGCTCTTCACCTGTCAAGGAGAAGCATTGTCATCTTGGGAAAGGGTGTGAGTGAACTGTACACTTGCCGATACATCAGTTTTACGGGGACTCTGAGGAAATGACACTGGTGGTGAATGGGGTGTGAGTAAGTGGGAAATAAGAGAGAAGAACAGATAACGAACTGACCCAGTGTCCTATTCTGGCAGAAACAGAGCCTTAGATAAGAGTCTAGACTTGGCTGTCAAATCTAGGATGTCTTGATGGGAAGTAAAGAATGCAGAGATAATGAAATCAAGTTGCTTCTGAATTGAGTAGTCCCTGTTGTACTGCTGTCTACCCAGGAGAATGAAATGCAGTTTTGTTAAGTGACTTTTATGTCTCAACTTTTCTTTGTTTGTGCAAATTCTCAAATGAGAGAAGGAACTGGCCACATGGGTAAGCGATGAGTCTGAACTGGTTGGTTGTCTCCTGTGCAAGTTCTCAGCTAAAATCTTGCCAGTGAACCACAATCACCTGGCAGCTTCTCTAAAAATGTACAAGCCTAGGCTGTCCCCTGAAGATTTTGAGTGAATAAATGTAGTAAGGCCTGGACTCAGGTAGTTAGAAAGATTTCCTTGAGATTCTGATACAGCCCTTGGGTGAGAACTATTGAATGGCTACGTGTAATACGTGTCAGTTCACAGCTCTCGAAAAGAAGGCCTCTCTTGAAGAGTGGGAGTTTGACAGATGAGGCTTCCTTCAGTGCTCTCCTTTCCAGCCACAGAAGCCTGACTTTTATCCATCTCTACTTCTGTGCTTGACAAGTTAAAACGAGTATTATTGGCAGTATCTGTGGGCTTGAAGTATAACTCCTTTTTCCTTCCAATCACTGATCATTCAGTGGCACTCAAAGAGTCTTAGAAATTTGCTTCTGGTGAATGATTTAATAAGTAGAGCCCTTTAAGGATTTTGCACCTTTTGTTACCATCCAAGGCATTAGGCCAGCAGGGTTTCCTGACTGCAGTAAAAGGAAATCATGACCCTTTCTGTTGGTTAAATCTGTGTGACCGAATCTTGCAATATATCTGTTAGATTCACTGAGAACATGCATCATTAAAATGGTGGGGTTTTTTTTAATTGCAGTATAGTTGATTTACAGTGTTGTGTTAGTTTCTGCTTTATAGCGGTGATTCAGTTATATATATATATACACACACACAAGTATACATATTCACACACACACACTTTTTCATATTCTTGGCCACTTTGGTTTACTACAGGATGTTGCATAGAGGGCCTTATACTGTACAGTGGGACCTTGTCATTTATCTATTTTATATGCAGTAGTTTGTATTTGCTACTCCCAAACTGATAACTTACCCCTCCTCCACCACCTTTCCCCTCTGGTAGCCATCAGTTTGTTTTCTACATCTGTGAGTCAGTTTGTTTCTTCAGTAAGTTTATTGGTGTCACAGTTTGGAGTCCACATATTAAGTGATATCACCTGGGGTTTGTCTTTCTCTTTCCAACTTACCTCATCCAGGAAGATAATCTCTGGGCCCATCCATGTTGTTGCAAATGGCATGATTTCATTGTTTCTATGGCTGAGTAGTATTCCATTCTATATGAATATACCATGCAAGATGGCAATTTTAAACATCAAAACCCAGGAAGTTACTAACAGAAAGGAATTGTTTTAATAATGTAGTTTCAGGCATCTTATGAACTAGAGGTCCATATGATTAACAATAAGGGAGACTGAGATACAGATTGTAGTCTGAGTAGGCATAGGAAAAGTTCTTGAAGTGGGTATTATGAGTCTTAACAGCTACTTTTTATGACATGTTGAGGCCCAGTTTTTTTTTTTTTGTAGGACATATGATACTAAAGGAAGGAAAGGTTTTACATCCAAATATTTGCTTTATACCCAACTGTTTGGAAACACAGCAAACATACAAACACAAGTGGGCTATAGATGAAACATGGCCCCTGGATATTTTCAGTTGGCCTCCACACATTGAGTCAACATTTAAAATTTAGGAGACTCGTGCAGAAATCTACATTTCAGACTTCAACTAAAGAAACACATCTAGTCCACTGTGAGGCCAGGCTCCCGTGTGGTCTGCTGTGCAGAGGTGGACCCTAGTCAGTGGGGTGTGTGTTCCCCAATTTGCTGTCCTCACCTGGGAACTTCACTGAACATGGGTCCCCTACTTTGCCTCTGTGAGCATTTGACTTGACAATTCCTGTTTTATAGTATATCTTGATAATGATTTTGAAATTTTAAAGGCAGTCTATGTTAAATTTATAATCTATTTCATATTGTATAATAATCTCACACATGGGATTGAATTTTTCAAATTAGAACTTATAAGTTGATTTTTAAAACAAACTTTTTCTTTTCATGAATATGCAAATAATCATATTCCCATCGGAATGTCTTTAAACCTGATGAGGTTGGTCGTGGTCAAATTTGTACAGGTTATGCTCACTGCAGACGGTGTGATGTCTTTCTCCTCCGCGTGGCTCCTTAGAGCTGCGCTTGACTCAGTAGCTACATGGCTCCCTGTGGAGCAGCGCTGAGAGCGCTGAGCGCAGTCACGGAGCAGTAAGGGGGCGACAGAAGGCCTGGCAGAAGCAAAGGTTCTTGGAACCAGTAAGTGCTTCAAGTGAGTTTTAGAGAATGACTTCACGGTGAACTTTCTGAAGAGCTCAAGGAGGAGTGTTTTAAAGAGTAGGAGCCCAGGGGGGTGAGGAGGAAGAGGCTACTTTGTATTTACTTTACATGATATGTTTATGTTCAGAGACTTAGAAGTTTTTACATTCAGTTTTGAAATATGTAATTTTGTACATTATACACTGTTTTTGCTGTTTTACAGGATGACCTGACACCACTGTTACTTGCCAGAAGGAACAACAGGCAGCTAATGGCAGACTTTTTAAAGGAAAAACAGGCACATATGCCTACAGTTGAGAAGACGAAAAGGTACAGTAGTTTGTTACCTTTAAAAAAAAAAAACTTTGCTGTTGTTCCCAAGCAGTATCAGTTAGAAAACTTAAATTAATAAAATGATTAACTTAGAATCCACACATCTTCAGTTAGGGAGAAAAGCAATTCCGACTGGGTGTCACAAAGAACAGAATAGAACAGGATTCCTCTTCCTTTATAATACTGACTGATGTCATTTGCAACCTGATTCTTTTGATCATATGATCTTCTCATAGGTCAGGGAGATCACTTTCATTTTATTAGTATGAATTCCAATTTTAATTGATGTTATGATAGAACATTGAATATCTGAATTCTTTTATAATAATGTTTAAATTTCTACTGTGTATAGGTTTTTTCTTAAAAGATGAAGGTTAAACATAGAGGAATTTGTTTTATCTTTTAGATGACTGTTAGCTTGAAATGACTTTCTTTGAAGAATACTGATATTTTTAGGTTATCACACACGAGTGTGCATCACCATTACCGGATCCTATGGGCTCATCCGTTTTTATCCTTTCTCAATTCTTGTTCATTTTGATGATTTTATTTTTAATTGATAATGGTAGAAACAGGAAAGATAGCTTTAGTGATTGAATAAACATTTTCTTTAAAGCAGACAAGGCAGTGGTTGATGATAAAGAGGAAAGAGTTGAGCTTTAGATCCAGACCAGGTTTAAGTCCTAGCTTTCCTGTTTGTCAGGTGCGTTCCCTGGGAAACATGACTTCTTATCGACAAATAGGTTTCCTGATACGTAAAGGAGGACAGGAGTACATCCTTTATGGGGGGTTGTGTGTAAGAAGGAAATACATACGGTATTTAATTCAGGGCCAAGCACATGCTTCTCAGCATGATTCACTGCAACCGTGACTATTTTCATTATTCATATTATTGTTTGAAGCCTGCAAACAGCTTTGTTTTCCTGACCTCTAGCTGATTTTAAAGTATAAAATTTCAGACTCATCAAGAAATGGGGAAATCTTTATTTAAATCTTTCCCTACTTGACATAAGTGACCTCAGCATCGTTTCTTGTCCATCAGAGGACTTTAAATCTGCAAGTTCGTCTCTGTGTTACCCCAGGAGGACAGGGAGCTGCTTTTTTGTGGCTTGCTTTTGGCCTTGAGGTAACTTGCTGAGATGAACACTTGAGCATGTATATGATCAGTCTTACAGAGATGGTCAGGGTACAATATATCAAATAAGCTGTTGGAGTAAGTTAAGTAAATTCCTTGGGGAGGGGGTGAGTTTTCTTCCCTGATTTTAGAACAGCCCTCATGCTTGCTGTAAGTGATGAATCACCAAATATGGTCAGGCTTCTTCTTCAACAAGGCATTGATGTCTTTCCTCAAGATACCTAGGCATGGAGTGTAGAAGGATATGCTCTTATTAGTGGTTTTAATACGTAAGTGTTTACACTAAAATGGCGATCACTAAACTGAGGTTTTAATACGTAAGTGTTTACACTAAAATGGCGATCACTAAACTGAGGTTGAAAACTTGTCACACGACAGGTAAGAGTTCCAAGTTGGGTGCAGGCAGTTGGGGGATGGCAGTGAGCTGTGCCCATCATGAGCTGGAAATCACGCCAAAAGCCAGACTAGTGAGATGCAGCAGTGGCCCAGGATCCTTTATCTCAGGGCCTCTGAGCCCTTTGTCCTTCAGCATCCTCGTGTTCTGTATTTGATTCCAAGTGTATCCCTTATGCATGGGGTACAAACAATGTCATAACTGATTTTTCTAAGCAGCTATTTGGGTCTTAAAGTGTTTAATTGAGCAGAAAATCCTGTCTTTTGCCTTGAGGGCTTTCCTCTGTACTCTTCCTCTGGAATCTTCCAAGAAGCGAAGGGATTCCCTGAGGTCAAAGTGACTCCCGTCTTCCACAGGTCACTGGGGTTGGGGTGGGGAGGAGGGCTTTCTAGCCATTCTGTTGTTCCCCTCGATTCTGTTGCTGCAGCGTCGGTATGAAAACTGGTCTCAACAGGGTCTCGTTGGCAGCTGGGTCTGCGCTGTGCATGTTGTTCTCTAAAGACCTTCAATAACATCATTTTAAAAAAAGAAAAGAAAACAGAATGTGGCCCTGCAGTTTGTCCTGTGTGACATCTCCTCCCTGGATGCCCGTGCTGACCCACGCTCCTCAGCCTTCCTCATGACCCACACTCAGACCGCAGGGCGACAGCTTGTTTAGTTCTCATGAATTGCTTGTGTGACGTCCTGTACTTACAAATACAGCTACAAAACATGTAACAGCTGTGGTGCCCTGAATTATAAACGCTGGAAAAGGATGGCTCATCACCATAACTTGGAACATTTTTCTGAAAACTGCACCTTTGAATGTTGCACCTATGAAAAAACACACATTGGTTTTTATTCGGGGTGCTAAACTAGTTCT